TTTTTTTGAGTCTTTGTCTTGGTGCATGGAAGTGAAGTGAACCATATGCATCAGCAACTGTGCTTGGATCTTTTTCCACACCAAAGTCAGTGAGGCTGAGCCCTTGTGCAGGACCTATACTTAACTTGCAAAGCCCTTATGTGCAGGACCTAGTTGGAATCCTCCTCATCAGACATCAAATCCAAATTGCCACCAGTCAGCCTGAGGTGTAGTCCCAGCCTGAATCTCCAGCACACCTTCAAAGGCACCTGATGTGATGGTGTGCCACTTAAACACTGGTGTGCTAGGGCAGACATAAATCCAACCATTGTTTCGCCTTGGTAAGTTGCCACAAATCTGGGGTTAACCCACTCTGATTGTTCAGCTAAATGGGCAGTGAGGTGATGCGTGTGGATCGTATTCCACTGGAGATACCCCTGCTCTATGCTCAAAGAACTCAGAGTTGTGTAGTGTACCAAGAACAAGTTCATGCTCTTCAGCAAGGACTTGTGGGCCTTTCGATCCATGTGCAAGCCCTGCTCATCAATGATTGTATACACCTTGTTCAGGTTGTAAAGGCAGGCCAGCTTGTGTTTGTTGTAAGCATCTGTAGCCTTGCCAAGTTCAGTCACACATATTTCATAGAGCACAGGAAGCAACCACCGAAGCTGTTTGGCTTTGATTCCACTCATGTCTGGAAAGACCTCATACTTCGACTTTGGGTTGGTGAAGCTTGAGAGGACAAGTCTCTTGATCCTGTGGGAAGCTTCAATGCTCTGTTCCAAGTACTGTTGACACACCTTGTCAAATAGAGATTTCAGCTTTTGGTCCACTGTCCCTGGCCATCCAGGTTTGCAGATGAAATCGAATACAACATTTCCAACAGTGTGGGAGATTACTCCCTCATCCATGACATGAAGTGTATCCAAGGCAAAGGTGTCACCAGTGACCCCATTGACTTCTCCCAGCTGGTGAGAAGTGGGGCACTTGCCCTTGTGAAGAACTTTGGTCTTCCTCCATGCTGCACATGGCCTGAAGTCATTGAATGGGACAGTTGACTTGTTTGCCCCACACATCCAGCAGCAAGCATTGTGAGCATGGCCAGGAAGTCCTAGCTCATTCATTTGATACTCTCCATCACATGAAACAGCAAAGAGCCAGCCACACTTGCCCTGGGTGTTCAAAGCAGTGCCAGCCTTGAGAGCTCTTGGGCTGTTTGCAGGCCATGGTTGGCCAAGATGGTCCACTTCTGGGTGTTTTCCAAAGAACATGTGGTTCAGTGACCACTTGAAGATAGACCATACTTGGGCCATGGTATCATCATGAGCTGCGCTGCTTTTGTGGCAACACTGCTTGGGAATTGCTATGAGCAAAAGTTGAGAGGAAGCAACATTTGCTTTGCTAAGCAAAGAGCGCAAGCTGATCACATGGATTGAGTCACCCCTGTGAAATTGGCCACCATCACCATGGAGTACCATGGGCAAGAAATGATGCCTCCCTTCCTTCACGATGGGGTTGCCAGCCAACTTGGGATCATCAGCACTGTGCTCCTCCCAAAAGGCTTCCAGGTGAGCAAAGCCTGAGGCTTCCTTATGGTTCTCCAGCCAGCTGAACCACTCATGGGGAAGGAACATGCCAAGTGGCTTGCTGGTCATGTACCAGCCTTCAGAGCTCCTAGCTTGGATTGGAAGCTCGACAATGTAAGGCTGTGGCACACCAAGCTCATCAGACTCACAGAACCTCCTGGTCATTTGGGTGGCCACATGGTTCTCAGACCTGCCATAGTTTCCCATGCTTGCTATTTCCTGTACATCTTGGGCCACCACACCACTCTTTGTAGCAGCCAAAGCAATGCTTTGGATGGCTGGCCCCTTGGAGGAGTAAACAAGACAAAAAGAACCAGTTAGCACAAACATGCAATCTGCAGGCAAGGAACAGACACACCATTGGCAAATTGCTCCAATAGGGAGAAACCAAGTGGTGAGAGCTCTTCCTGACACTTCTCTGGTTCAGGGTCATGTCCCCTTTTCCTTTTCCATTTTGCCATGACTCACTGGAGCCATTGTGCAGGGCCCTGCATTGAGAAAGAGCCCTTGCTCAGGACCCAGATGGAATGCAAAAGCAATTGAAAAAGGGCTACCCAATCAAAGGTAAACTTGATGCACATACAGTGAAAGCACATGCCCAACCCTGGAGGTTTGCCAGTGACTGCCAGTGAGCTTTTTGCCACACAAGCCACTTGAGTTTTCAGCCCTTGTGCAGGACCCTTCTTTACACATCCCTTGCTCAGGAATCCTCTCCCTGCAGCCTTTTGGCCTTTTTGATGGCAAGTGCACAGTCAAACAGCTTCTTCTTGGCCACCTCTGCAGATGCCTTCTTCTTCAGAAGTGCCTTGAGTGCTGACTCAGGCTCCCTGAGGCAAGCATCATGGCTGCTGCCAACTTCTTTCCTCACCTTTTGCAGGAGCTTCAGCATCTTGGACACCCTGACTTTGCATTCCTGGAATGCAGGTGTGCCTCCCATGTCACTGAGCACATCTGCCTCCACCTCATCAGCATCCTGCTTCTTCTTCTTCTTGGAGCTTGCTGGCTTTGCTGGGCTCTCATCTTCACTTTCTTTTGCATTGCCATCTTCGATGGCCAAAGCTGCCTTGCCCTTCCTGCCACATACAGCCTCCAAGGCCTCTGTGGCATTACCTTCTTGTGTCCCAACACCAGCAGCAGCTTTGAGCTTCATCCAAGAGACAGCTTCCTGCTTTCCAACTTGGTGCCCTTTGTGCTCATGCTTGGTTTCAGTCTGCTCCCATTTTTGCTCCTTCTTCAAGCAGAACTGCCACTCAGAAGTGTCCTCTGGATCCCTCCTGCATGCAATGCTACCCTTGTTCACCTCAGATGCAGAAAGGGATACTTGGTGCATGAATAGGAAAGTCAGCAGCAAGTGCCAGGACTGTGACCCTGCGCATTGCTTCCTGAAGCCCAAAGCGGAGCAGTATGGTCTGGAAAGGCACCCATGACTCAGAAGTCTTGGAGCCTTAGTGGGGCAATTGTCAAAACAGTGGTGGCCAAACAAGCAAAAGTTGATCAAAAGCATATGTGTCCAAGAGACCTGTGCTTTTGCTCAAAGTCACCATCTCCTTTTGCCAGGCTTGGCTGTTCTTCAGGTCCCCTTGGGCATTCAGAAACACACCAAGCAACCTCTTTTTGAGAGGGTCTGACTTGGGACCTTTGCACTGGGATTCC